ACAGAAAGTTATTTAAGAAAAGGTAAAAGTAAAATATACTTAGTTCCCATGCCAGAACAGGTGTAGGAAGGAGTGACAGAGAAGAGGAAAAATAGATGCCCAGTAAACCCAGCAGGCAGTAAACTTTGGGGGCTGTGGTGTCATCAACTCTCCATCAGTTTAGAAAGTCTTCTATCCTGAAAAATATAACGTCTGGCTTTCTTTTAAAAAAAAATCAAAGTTTCTTTGGAAACCAAGGTTTATTTTCTCAGTCTTTTGGAAGGTTTTGCATGAAGGCCTGCCCTGCACCGAAACACTGTATGTGGGGACTCAGAAGTATTGGCCAGTTTTCTAGATGTGCTAGAGCCCTGCTCCTTGTTCTTATCAAGCAACTACTGCCTCATCCCACAGGTCCTGGGAGTTACTTGAGAACAAGCATTTATTTCATCATTTTGATGTTCTTTGTATACCAGACCCACCCTGGATTCTCGGCAGATTCGAATGGGGGTGATGTACACTGAGAACCAAAAAGAACTCAGTGGATAGCCTATCAAGAAGAATAGGTTTTAGAGAAATAAAAGTAAAAGTTTTCTGGAGAGGAAAGTCTAGAAAGGAAATACATCCAAATATTAAAAGTGATTATCTCTGGCTGGTAGGACTATAAATAAGAGATTTTTTTCCCTTCTACATTTCCATGTTCTATAATATTAGCAGTGATTATCTCTAGCTGGTAGGACTATAAATAAGAGAATTTTTTTCCTTTCTGCATTTCTATATTCTATAAATTCTCAATAGTGAACATGTATTTCTTTTATAATGAGAAAAAAGCAGCAGACTTCATTTTCTAAGATGGAAGAAATAGATTTTAACTGCTCTTTGCAGCTCTTACAAATTTCTTTTCTCATGCCTCACCCTTATCTTTTTTTCAAGTCCATTCAAACTGGCTCTTTCCCAGCTCTCCTGACTGTCTCTTTCCACTATTTCAAGGAGTATCTCTCTCTTGTAGACAAGCCCTCTCTTTCTCTAAGACATATTTCACCTAGTAGCTTTTCTGGAGTTATGTCTCAATAACAGCTTTATTGAAATATAATCCACACACCATACAATTCATCCATTTAAAGTATATAATTCAGCTGTTTTTACTATATTCACAGAGTTGTACAACCCTCACCACAATCAATTTTAGAACATTTTCATCACCTTCAGAAGAAATCCCATACCCTTTAGCTACTGTTCCCCAACCCTCATCTGCCGCAGCCCAAAGTAACCACTGATCTACCTTATGTCTCTCTACATTTACCTATTCTGGACATTTCACATTAATGGAATCATATATTATGTGGTCTTTCATGACTGGTTTCTTTCACTTAGCATAATGTTCTCAAGGTACACATCTGTTATAAAATGTAGGAATACTTTTTTCATTTTAAGACTGAATAATATTCCATCATATAGAATATGTAATTGTTTATCCATTTATCAGTTGATGCACATCTGTCTTGTTCTGCCTTTTGCTCTTGTTAATAGTACTGCTATGAGCAGGTGTGTACATGTACTTATTAGGAATACTTGTTTTTAATTATTTTGTGTATATACCTGTTACAGTAGTGGAATTGCTGGGTCATGTGGGAAGTCAATGCATAACTTTGTGAAGAACCACCAAACTATTTTCCACAGTGGTTGCACTATTTTGCATTCCCACCAGCAATGTGTGGGAGTTCCGGTTTCTTCACTTCCTGTCTTTTTTTTTATTATAGTCATCCTAGTGAAGTGGTATCTTACTGTGGTTTTGATTTACATTTCCCTGAGGATTAACCTACCTTTTTATCTTAAAATTTTTTTAATTGTTTTTGAATCTCAATTCTTTTTTTAAATTGGCATATAGCTGCTTTACATTGTTCCTAGTTTCTGCTGTATAGCAAAGTGAATCAGTTATACATATACATACATACCCTCATTTTTAGAGTCTCTTCCTATATAGGCCATTACAGAGAGTCTTGAGTAGAGTTCCCTGTGCTATATAGTTGATTCTTATCAGTTACATATTTTATGCATAGTAGTGTATATATGCCAACCCTAATCTCCCAATCCATCCCTTCCCTCCTCCCTTCCCCCCTTGGTATCCCACCTGATGATTAACCTACCTTTTAAAACTCAACATCAGATTCTTAGACACGAATCCTTGTGAAGGCCACCACCACTTTCCTACCAAGTAAAGACCATCCAAACTGCTATACCAGTTTAGTCCAGTGATTTACCCAGTCCAATAGCTAGCTAGTCTCTGAAAAAGAGTAACAGGAAAAATATTTAGGGAGAGGACATGGTTGTACTTTTTAATACCCACCTTAACAGGTGAAATATTATTTATTTTGTGCATATAAAGTTATCTGGAACTTGAAAAAGGTTAATTATCTTGCATACATAAGTTTATCTGGAATATAATATATATTTATATAGATTATATATTTATATCCTACAGTCTCATAATAATGGAAATAAATTGCCAAATGGCTAACATTGTGGGGTATTATTCTGTGCCAGGTACTATGCTAAACACTTTACATGCATTTTCTCATTTAATCATCCCAGCAAACTATCATTTGCTTCATTTTAAAATAAAGAAACTAAGCCTCAGAGAAGTTTAGTCTGTCTAGTAAGGTTTTCCTGCTAAGTAAGTGAGGGAATAATTGGCATTTGAAACTCATGAGTCAGACTCCAAAATCAGTGCTCTTAGCTACTACTCCTAATAGGTTTTAAGGGGCTGTCCTGAGAACCCAACCATCACTATATCATAGCTCCTAGATGATACTGTGTTCTAAATTCAAAATAACTAAATCAGGAACAAGTTTTAAAAATACAGTCTCTTAGGTCCATTGTGTATGTTCTACGGAGGTAATGAGTACTCTGTGAAGTAAGATGATCTTTTATTTCCCCAGGTTACCTTGTTCAAGTGTCAGAGAGATTCCCTAAGTTCTACAATTTTAATGAGCCAGACATTATTTACATTCATTGTGGCTTTCTTACACTTTTATCTTGACCCAACCAAGTAGTATCTTTCCATACTAAAGTGGGAGGTCTTAGGTTTATCACAGCCCTTCGTCCCCTCAACACTTAGATAGACCCTTCCTGAATCTGCTCCAGCGTGTCAATGATCTTTATGATCAGCCAGGAAAAAGACTCCAAGAGTTGGGAGGCTGGAAACAGTTCAGAGTTACGCTGGTTTTTTTTTTTTTGTTTTTTTTTTTTAACGTCTAGAGAAGTCAAATTGGAAGGCTTTGCTATGAGTTCAATTTTTCTTGCCAGCGCTATGTTAGTGAGAGAGAATTTGGAGGTAGGAGGAGGCCTAAGGGAAACTTTCATTAAAGGGAGGGCCATCACTTCTCATAGACTAATAGCCATATTCCATTTCCTCATGTAAGGAGGGGAATTACTCGGCCTCAGCCTTTAGTCTTTCAATTTCCACTCTTGGGAACCATATTATTACCTTGTAAAACGGAGCATCTCCCCTATTAGCGTTAATTGAACCCATCTTTTTCCTCTGTGAGAAACTATAATGTTGACTTTTATGTTCAGAGCCCTATACTGAGCCTCTTCACTTTGGAGATTGACGAAGTGCAGCCACCAGGAGTAGGCTATGAGAGAGTTTGAGCATAACAGGAAGTAACTGTTGGGATCAGGAATTATATATGTCTCAATAACCCTTCCCCAGTTGTTCTGTCCATCACCCTGGCTTTACTGTGACTCGAGCCTTTCTGAAGATGTGCCAAGTATTGTAAGCACACATTCTCTCTCTTCCTCTGAATCATTAGTTGAAATGAGTCGTCTTATGGTAATAAAATGGAAAATGGCATTAAATGCAAGAAAATACTTTCCACCAGTCTTCCTCTTTTAGCCAAATCTGAGAACAACCCCCAGAAGGCATTTCTGGGCTCTCACCAGTGTCTAAATGAGATTCAGGCCTCTGGCTCCTCCAGAGGTCTATATATCAGGTCAGTCCATTCTTAGCCTGGAGACAATATTGAATAATTACTCCACTGCCAGGAAATTCCCTGGTGAGATTCTCTAAAAACTTAGTGGAGACTTAAGATAAACTTGGATATAGAGGAAGTACTCTTTAACTTCCTTTCTATTGATACTAGAAATATTGCTTTAGAAAATAGAGAGTATTTTATTTTGGTTTGTTTACTACTGGACATCTATTGCATAGATATTTTAGTATTTCTTTATAAGCATATACACTTCCCTCCAGTCTATAGTGTCTTATTTTGTATGTTCATGTACATCTGAAAGAAAATAATAGGCCAAAAATTTTGCAAGGTATTTATGGGTGTGTGTTTATACATATTTGCATATATAATATGTTCTCTCTCTCTCTCTCCGTCTCTCTCTCACACACACACTCCTATAACATGAAAGCCAGAGCAAATATATAATAAAATACACCTAGGAACCACAATATACAAACAAAGAACAAAGAAACCTTCCTCCTCTAGCAGATGTGAGTTTCTCTGATGACATTGTCAGGAGAATTTCATAGAGCTTATACTGCTCTGAGCACCCCGCGATTCTGATCTGCAACTAATAGCCAGAGTCTATATGGAAAGGGGCCATCTCTAGGGTAATAGCATTGAAAATTACAATCAATGCACTCAATTACACTCAGAAGCCAAAAGATATGTAGCGCTTCAATGTGCCTTGTAATCAGCACCTTTGAGAATGTAGGTAACAGCATCTGAATGAAAAATGGAAGCTGAACGTGTTAGAAAATGGATGTTAGAATTAAATCATCCTTCTGATAGGAATAGCACCTTATATGGCAGGCAACTTTTTTTTCTAATATCATTTTATTGATTTAAAAAAAAAACCTAAATTGTGACCTTGTAGCCAAGAATGTCTTTTAAAATCATTTATTGCTCTAATCAGCCTGGCAGAGCCTTTCTGTCATGCTGATAAGGAAATTAAACTTTCCTCATACTGGGTTTACTTGCGTCTTATGCACAGATGTTTTGTTTTTCTTTCAGGGAACTAATTCAGAAGTTAAAATCTTTCATCAGCTTCTATAGTGCTTTGCCTGGCTACATCTGCAGCCATAGCCCTGTGGCTGAAAATGACACTCTTTGCTGGAATGGACAAGAACTCGTGGAGAGGTAATCTTTTTTGAATGTTACATATAGCAGTATATGAGAAATACTCATTATGTGCTCATATCAGGCTTAGTTATGTCTTCTCTCCATTAATTTCATGAGAAAAATAATAGAAAGAAGCATACACATGAACATCTGTGACATGGCACATGCTGTCTGTGACTTACAGCCCTCATAGGACTTACAAACTTTGAAGCACACAGAAAGCTATGGATTCAGGAACATTTTACAAATTGTAAGCATAAGGCAAGTCTTTTTTCCATGGGTCTTTGGCTTATTCCACCTTCTCATTATGTGGGCCCTTATTGATTGATTGATTTAAAGAAATCATGTTTGTACTAATGGCTGTTATTTATGAGAATTAACTATATATCGAGCACCATGCTAAGTGTTTCTATGTGTTAACTCTCTTTATCCTTATGTCAATCCTATGAAATTGCATTATTTCCCCCTGTGTTATAGATGAAGATGGAGAATAGAAGAAAGGGGAGGGAAGGAGAAGTACCATTTCACATCATTTTTATTGAAATGTTTGATTCTTTAAGTGTTTCTTAGTATTATCTGTACTAACATTTGTCATCTCTGAAGAATTTGCTTATTGTTGGAAAGGAAATAATATATATTCTTTTTCAGCAAATATTTACTGAGCATTTTCTAAGTGCCTCTCACATAGAAGTAAACAGAACAGGCAAATTTTCCTATCCTCAAGGAGCCTTCATTCTAGTGGGCTAGTGATATTCCTGACCGCCTTTGCTTTGTATGTGTAAAAAATGGCTTGCAATTAAAGAATTAAATCAAGAGGGTAAAATGCTTAGGAAACTCCATAATGGCATTGATGAACATGCTTTCAAAAATGTTCGTGCAAGGGGTAGCATATTGTAGAGGGGAGTACAGAAGAGACCTGGATGCAAGTTCTGAATCTTTCACTGACCAGTTGTTTAACCCAAGGCAAGTGACTTGAGGCAAGAACTGAGGTGGTCGGATTAAAGCACCACTAGTTCCGACAGTCTGTGTGTTTTATTTCCTTATCCATTCATTCATCCATACCTTCGACATTTATGTTTTGAGATTTATGTTTATGATTATGTTTTGAGATACTATGCATTAGGCATTGAGGTAGGTGCTAGGGGTATGAAGATGAACAAGATGACAGGCAAGTTACTTGCTTTGAGGACCTTTACATTCTAGCAGAATCCAATATCCAGACATAGGATAATTAATCATGATGCTAAATGGAATTAATTAGTGGTGTAATGCCATGGACAGAGGAACGCTTTGGAGCCAGATGAACTTGGGTTTTCATCTCAGCTCTGCTACAGACTCTGTGTGGCCTTGGGTGAGTCACTTCACCTAGAAAGTGTCAAGATCCTCTTCTGTAAGGAAGGGGTATCTCCCAGTATTGTTGTAACTAACAGGTGAGGTAAAGCCCATAGAAGGCAAGCACATACTGGAAGCTCAGTTTGTGTTAGTTCTTTTCTTTCTACCTTCCCCCACCACCCCTCCTCTTCCCAGGGCAAAGTAGAACATAGGCCTGAAAACAGTTTGTTTCTCAACTAAGCTTTGGACTGACCTGGAACAATGAGAATGGGATGTATATTTATCACCCTAAAAGTTCTATCAGGTACTGAGTAGAATCATGAAAATGTATCCAACTGTTGTGACATATTCATTTAAATTATCAAAGAGAAGCAGTTGGTATTTGGCTTTATAAAAAGCAGATGCACCTGTGGTAGATTCATGTCAATGCATGGCAAAACCACTACAATATTGTAAAGTAATTAGCCTCCAATTAAAATAAATACATTTATATTAAAAAAATAAATTTGAAAAATAAATATAAAGCAGATGCTTTAAAACAGGTATGCTGTTTAGTCGCTTAGTTGTGTCTGACTCTGTGCAACCCCATGGACTGTAGCCTGCAGGCTCCTTTGTCCATGGAATTCTCCAGGCAAGAATACTGGAGTGGGTTGCCATTTCCTTCTCTGTTAAAACAGATATAAATGACATCATATTTCAGAAAGAAAATTCCCACAGGTTCAGTATGTGGTTCTTGCATAAACTTGATGAGAAACCATCCCAATAACTTACCCACTGGTATATTAAGATGGTGAAACATGAACAATTTTTCATTTGTTTAGAGCAGCATAACCATGGTTTTTTTTATTAAAAAGCAAATTTTAGTTTATACTTATTTACTACTGTAATCATTCATTCATTTATTTATTTACTCATTTAACAAATATTTGAGTACCTACTATCTATCAAGCACTAATATTTGTTTCCTCCTTGTTGTGATCATTTAGAGCAAATGTTGTCACCGCACTGGATATATCTTCTGATATATCAGATGATCCAGTTTTAGTTAATTCAAAAGAGTTTCTTCTTAGGCAGTCCTATGTTTTTTGAATTAGTGGGATTTTTTTAAAATTGAATTTTACTCATATAAACTATTCATATTCGGTATACTTTCATGAAGGATGTTGTCCTGAAACTGAGAAAATCCTTTTCTATCAAATGGTACAATCCAAAGTCTGCTAACTTTGAATGAGTCCAGAAGTTAACCAAGGGCACTTTTTGCACCATTAAAATAGCTCTGCTAAACAAAAACTTTTCTGTTTAATTTGTCAGCTTTTAATATCTTAGGATATTGAACAAAATAATAAATATCATAGTATGGAGGAAAGCCATTATTTCAAGCTCTTATTTGTTACTTCTGCAAAACCTATTTTTTTCAAAGCAACTTTTATTGTTAATATATATGATGCAGAAAATGAAGGAAGGAAGAGAAAGAAGGTGGGAGGAAGGAAGGAAGTCAAATGTTATTTGTAGACAGAATACGGCTAATGTAATCCAGGAAGTGCTTCTTCCATGGTTGGCAACCTTGGCTTATCATTAACCTGTACTTTAATCACTGACCTAATGCAATGATTGGAGAGGAAAACAGCAACCCACTCCAGTGTTTTGCCTGGAGAATCCCAGGGACAGAGGAGCCTGGTGGGCTGCCGTCTATGGGGTCGCACAGAGTCAGATACAGCTGAAGCAACTTGGCATGCATAGCATGCATTGCAATGATGGGAGCAGGAAATAGTCTTAAACTAGGTTTTTACCAAATTACTCAGGAATATACATTTAATAAAATGAAGTTCTGTAGCCTGAGCATATGTGTGCCCATTTATAAAGAGTAGCTTTGTGCTGCATGTATCATCTATAGTTACATCCCCTCTCTGAGGCTTTTCATTGAATTTCTCATTTAGTCTTAAGTAACAGTTGCCACTTCATATTGTCAAATGGGTTGTGACTTTGTTATCTTTATAGGTTGGGTTTGTGTTCCCTTGAAAATGTTTTACTTTTAATCAAGAAAATTAATGAAAATCAAGGATCCTGAAAAAAAATAAGACTTCTCAGTGGAGACACATGCTTAAAATGAAAATATTCATGTTGAAAATCCATATCAGCTGGGTTATCATAACTATTTATACCCTCCCACTGTGGATCTACCTGTTTCTCAACTTTTAAAAAGACACCGTCTCTCTAAACAGAGCCATATCTCACATCCTTTCAGTTTTTATCTCTTCTGAATAAAATTAATCAAACTATGCAGGAAAAGAACGTTTTCACAAATCTAGTCTCAGAGAGTATCACATAAGCATCATTTGTCTTCTCACCTCCTCCTCCCTCCACCTCCTCCCCATCTTGGCTGGAAATAAATATTGGCTTCCAGGATTTCACAAAGACGTCTTCAAATTAGCAAGCTTGACTCATGTGAGGTATACTCCATCATGAGAGCCAGCATGTATCCTACAGGCAGAAACCTCCTACCATTGCCAAGGGCAGAAAATCCTCCATCTTCTGCCTTTGTAGAACCACAGAGAATTTCAATTAGAGAATCCCTGAGACCAAGATAAATACAAAGGTGCCCACAGAAGTAAGCTAACACGGGGCTTAAAAACAGCTAAATGTAGGCTTTGCCTGCAGTGATGCTGAAAATACCCATATGAAGAGTGAATAATTTAGCAAATACATTCTCAAGCACCTTTTTAGAACTGCTAGGCCAACTATCTGGCTGAAATTTTCATTCTTCTTTTAAACGGTTTGATACTATGTAAGTCCCATTTTATTATTTAATCGTTTATTTTAAATTAGCATGCAAGAAATTATTTGAACCTATACATGTTCAGAAATCTTAGGAAAAAATGCTGTTTTTTCCATTTAACATCTGATCATTCAGGTTCCTTCAACAGAAATTGAGCACTTAGTATGTACTAGGCCCTGTGGGGCATCAGTGATAGGTATTAGAAGCCAGTGCCTGCCCCTCCTGAGGGATTTACAACTCAATGAGGAGAAAAATTAGGGAAAAAATCAGCCATCCCTTTCTTCTCAGCGGTCCAGAGAGAGCTCCCCTCAGAGGTGTCAAAGCAGAGGCTCTACCCATCTGTACTGGGTGTCTTTTCCTGCATAGTTCAATTAAGTTGATTCACAAGAGACAAAACTGAAAGAATATGAAATATGGCCTTGTTTAGAGTGACAATCACTTGCTTGACTCCTTAAAAGTTGAGAGATCTGTGGATCCATAGTGGGAGGGTATAAATAGCTATGACAACCCAGCTGATACTGATTGATATTTTCTTCAACATCAGTATTTTCATTTTAATCAGGTGTCTCCACTGGCAAATCTTATTCTATTTCAAGATTCTTGATTTTCATAAATTTTCCTGACTAAAAGTAAGGAACTTGACTAAAAGTAAGGAATTTTCAAAGGAACAAAAACCCGACCTATAAAGATTAACTATGCATGCCTGTGTGTGTGTGTGTTGAGGTGAAATTCATATAATATAAAAGTAACCATTTTACGGTATACAATTCAGTGGCATTTAGTACATTCACAGTGTTGTACAATCACCACCTCTCTCTTGTTCTAAGACTGTATCATCACCCCAGAAGAAACCTTGTACCCATTAGTGGTCAGTCATTTCCCATTCTCCCCTTCCTCCAGCCTCTGGCAA